CACATAGATCTACACAAAAAACACACCACTAAAAATGTGCATGAACATACACTCACCTCACTATCAAAATCTCAAAAACTCACCAAGACTCGTAGGTTTAATGAGCTCATCCAGGACATCGTAGAATGGCAGCCGTTGAAGTTTGACATCAGGGTGTACGGGGTGCAGGCTCGTGGGGAGGTGGGGCAGTCCCAGCTCATGTTTGGGCCCGAGAAGGGAGATGGGGAGCAGAGGGGATGGGGGCGCTCTGTGCCCATCAAATCCCAACTGCGTGAGGCCAGGGGGCAAAGAGGCAGTGACGGGGTGGACTCCGGGCAGGGCCAGCTCTGCTGGGGACACCAGCTTGGTGGGAAAGCGTCGTCTGTAGAGCTCCTTGATCTTCATCTGGACGGCAGGGCTGCAGCCGGCTTTAAGGAGGTATAAGGCTTTGGTCAGGAGCTCGTGCTTTCGTCCATGTTTGTTTCTGCCTGCGTAGCCCAGAAGAACCTGCAGCTCTGACACCCGCAGGCTCATCACCATTTGCTACAGGAGAAGGAAAGGAAGAGAGCGGCAGAAATTAACACGCACATTCTGAGCCAACTTGATCACAACATCACACTTCCAGCGCCAAACACACTTCATTTGCATAGGCCAAACTGTTTACTGGGCAAACACATACTCGCAGCTCAGACACTGATACACACATCTGAAGGCACACACAAACCCAAACACACTCAAATACAAACACATCTCTCACACACACGTGCGCGCTTTCCCTCAGGCTAGGATAGTTCAGTAATGGTCTAAGCTATGAAATATGCAGGAGCAGCCCCAAACACAACGGAAGTGTCACATTCCACAAGCTTGAAAATGAGAGGGAAAAACCAAACAGAAGAGGGCAAACAATGCAGAGCAAAGACAGGCAATGTACACACTAACATTCTTAATAATAAACCATTCTTCTCCAGAATGGCAAATTAACACATGCTGACCAGTTTGACTGATGTGTGTTTCCTGGTGAGATTAAAGGGCCAGTTCACCCAAAAATGAATAGTTTTGTCATTTCTCAATATGCGTTTTTATGCAACTGTAACAAATTAGCTCAAAAGGCAAATATTAATAATTAATCATAACTTGCTATAATTAATTATAAATATTTGGATCAGCTAATGGAATTAATATTACAATCAACAAACCTGTTCGCCCAGCGAACACCCTGTGTTAACTTAATTGTTTATTCATTCTAAGAAATGTTTATTTACGGGGTATGGGAAATAACCTCCTTATTGTACAATACTATTCAGAGCATGTAGCTAAAATATGCATTATTAGGGACTCCAGTTATGGGCAAAACAACATACAACCTTGAGTGTGATACAAACAAGACTTTAATAACTACACTAAACACTTAAACTATTCTAACACATACACACATGCATACAGTTAGCAATGGAAAGAGAACTTGAGCAGCGTACAGGAATGCAAGAAGTTATAGTATTGCTTGAGATTCGGCAGATCAACAGCCTTGAGCAAACCATCAGTTCCTTAGTTCTAACACACCCTTCTTTAAAAGGGGTGGGAATACTTAAAGGGTTAGTTCACCCAAAAATGAAAATTCTGTTATTAATTACTCACCCTCATGTCGTTTCAAACCCGTAATACCTTCCTTCATCTTCGGAACACAAATTAAGATATTTTTGATGGAATCTCCTCCGCATCACCCTGGATTATTTTACAGATCTCCTTGCTACGTTTCCGGACTTGGGAACATTTCAGTTGCGTTGCTGTCAGTTGCTGAGGGTGAGTAATTAATGACAGAATTTTCATTTTTGGGTGAACTAACCCTTTAATGGATCAAACAATGAGACTAAAAGTTTGATACTTGCATGTCTTGCCCATTTGAATAAAAGTGTCCTGATGCAGTTTGTTGAGGCTCCAATGAGTAATGGACACTTTGGAGGGAAATTTTATGATCCTTTGTCTTCTAGCAGGGTGTTTTGCATATGAAACTGAATTGGCTGTTTAAGAGAAGAATCTTAAAGATTCTTATAATACTAATGTGTCACAGAGTTAGCAAAATGTAATGTAAATTAACAAATAGGAAATGTAATTTGAAGCTCACAGATACCAAGCAGGCATATGTGCGATCTTGGTTAATTAAGTAATACTACAACATTCATTGAAGGTTTAATATATAGGAAAAACACTATAAAAGAACATATGATTACATAGGATAAATGATTGTACATGTCTCAAGTGAAGACACAATGTTCTGGAATATGCATGTTTATTCATAGAATGGTCTGTCTATGAATTTATGTGGAGAAATGGTCCATTCTATGGTCCTGTGTCTGTCTTTCACAGGGTACATAGCACAGTGCACATAGCATTTTTCCACATACTTTTTAGCAATAAAGAGTCTTATCAGATGGTAGCCCTGGTAACTGAGCCCTCCTGGAGTGATAGTTGCACTTTCAGAGGATGGTTGGTGGAACTCACAGAGTGGGTTTTAAAGATTATTTGTTATATATAACTAATAATTGTGTGTCTAATCGGTCCAGCTGTTACACGACCTTGCACCCTTGTGTTCTCGTAGTACGTCATCCTCAAAGGACAAAGTTCAATTCCAACACTCAAGAACACAGAGTACCCAGATGTGTTCTTGATATCGAGGATGCATCAAATACAGACGAGAGAAGCAAACCGTTCGAAATCCGGAAGCTTGTAAGCTTAAACTTCTAGTGTTAAACTTTCTGTGGCATGCATGCAAAAAAAAGCCTGACTGCTTGTGAAAGTAAACATGTCATTTTGTTTGCCATAATCTTAATAAAGTGATAAAGACCTGAAGAAAGCCTGCAGTACTTTTTAGTGGCATATTAAAAAGAATATTAACATTGACAAAGCACAATTTACACAAATACATGCAGTAAAATAAAAAGAGATAAAATAATCTAAAATAATGCAAGTAAATGTTTTAATTGGTTATGATGACATCTGTGATGTTATGTTATATTATTGTGCATTGGGTGGTGCTGTCCTGCTATTTAATATGTGCTAGGATGGCCAGATGAGCAACAAGACATCTCCATTCTCACAAAGATGCATTCTGTGTCCTCGTGTCATTCTGAGTTTGTTCTTTAAGGGTAGCCTGGTAAGACCGGTCTCCATGAGAATGCGAGCCCGTGGTCTGCGTTCTTAGAATTGAGAAACATCCTCTGTCATCATTTACTCACCGTCATGTCATTCCAAACCTGTAAAGAAGTGAAAAACGTGCCAGTATATGTCCATACAATGAAATTCAATGGGGTCCAGTGTTGTATAGACTAGGGGTGTGCGATATTGACAAAAAATGATATCTCGATATTTTCTGGGATTTTATCGATAACCTCATGCAATGAAAGAAAACACACTAAATGCACACTCGCACTAGTCTAGACTTCACGTAATGTATGCGTGCGCTCTGTAGGGATGTTTTGAATGGTTTTTGCAAAATACTCGATAATGTCAAATCGCACATCGTTAAAACAACAATTACGATATTATCGCAGACGATATATATCGCACACCCCTAGTATAGACCCCACTGGCTTTCACTGTATAACCCAAAACAGTTTAAATATGATACAAAATATCTACTCATGTTTCACAGAAGAAAGTTATACAGGTTTGGAATGCCATGAGGGTGAGTAAATGATGACAGAATTAGAATGCTGGGTGGAACTATCCGTCTAACCATTTGCGTTTGGAACCTGCTGTATTCCTAAGTAACGTCTGTTTGCATTCTTTCCTGTGTAAATATATATTAGTTTCTCCTTTGGACAAGAAGATATTAGTTTAAAATTAACCAGACAATAAAAAAGCTAACAATGCACTGATTAACAACTCAATCCCTGTGCTGCACACAAGAACAAATCAGAACAGATGCTCATACAACTAAGAGCCTGCCAGACAGTCCTGAATAAAACACATGATGTATTTCTGCTTTAAAATGAGGAGAGAAGAGCAGAGGAGAGGAGAGGTTGTTTCAGGAAGAAAAAGAGAGTGACAGTGGGCATGAGAGAGAGAGAGAGAGAGAGAGAGAGAGAGAGAGAGAGAGAGGGAGGGAGAGCAGAGGAGAGGAGAGGTTGTTTCAGGAAGAAAAAGAGAGTGACAGTGGGCATGAGAGAGAGAGAGAGAGAGAGAGAGAGAGAGAGAGAGAGATGGGGGAAGGGCAGAGACATGAGCTACTCGCTTCCAAAACAAATGAAATTGAACACACACACACATAGAGACGGTTCAAGTAAAAATACTCAGCAGGCATAATGCTGTTTGAAAGCAAAGTCTGCCGACAAAGATGCCGTGACTGCAACTTACAAGAACGACTCAAATTTCCCCCTATAATGACCCATAACAATCCAATCAGTCATTAATTCACTTAGTGATCCATCATATTCCAACAACTGTCGGGAACAAATGCAGAAATGACAATCATTAACTGAGCTGTTTAGGTGAATAGATTGGAGAAATCAGAACTAAAATAGATCAGACATTCATTTACGGCGAAATCATTCGGTCTGGTGAACACTCGGGGTGGGCGCTATACCGGTATGAAAGTGACTACCGGTGTTGTGCCCAATTCTAACCCCCGCCAGATTACTACCCCCTAGTATTGGTAGGTTTAGGGTTAGGTGTGGGGGAGGGGTTAGGATTAGGGGTGGAGTTAGGATTAGGCAATCAGGTAGCGATTGCAGGGGTCGAAAATGGGTACAACTCCTGTAGCTAATGCATATACATGAGCAATGTAAATTTGTTTCTTTGTTCATATTGTGTATCTTTGACTTTGTAATCTTAGTATGGTTCATTTGATTTGATCTGTTGTATTTTTGTTCATCTTTAATGGACAAATAAAGTGGTCATATGGCATTGTATTACTGGACTCTGTGTTCTTGTAGGCACCCCTGCTGGACTCAAGCCAGACATTCCCTAAATCCTAAAACCTAACCTCCTTTACAGCACTGAAAGCGAAAGTCCCACCCTCCCTGCAAATTGCAGTCCAAAGCCACGCCTCCTGAACGCATGAACGTGAACGGATCGGACGACCAGAGAGAACATTACTGCAATACATCATGTGTCATTCACCGGTGATAACTTTATAGTACAGTTAATAAAAGTACTACAATACCAGGAAGTAGTGCTGGGCGGTATGACCAAAAATTTATATCACGGTATTTTTCAAAATTATACCGGTTTCACGGTACGTGACGGTATTTTTTTTTCATGCATGACCGGGTGTTAACCATATTTTCTACTGATTGAGAGAGGAAATACTGCAGTATATTGACTTAGAATGCCCTATTTACTGTCATGATGAGTGAATATTGTCAAAAAATACCACACTAAATAGTGACTAAACACGACCCCTTTAATACGTTAACCTGGAGTCACTCTCATTTATAATCGCGGCATCGTCTGATAAAATCAACATGCATCTTACAGTAAAGAGTGGCTATGCGGTTGTTTTAGCTATAAATAGTGACTAAACACGACCCCTTTAATACGTTAAC